GGAACCAGGTGTGGTGGCACACATCTTTAATTCCAGCCCAGGGGATGAAGAAGCAGGAGGATCTCTGCAAGTTTAAGGTTGGCCAGGGCTATATAGAGAGAACTTGTCTCATAAAACAAAATAGAAAAAGTATATAGAGGAGAGAAGCCTAACTGAAGGGATGGAATTCATTTATGCAGCTGTAGGAAGTAGCTTCTCAGGTGAGACTTTTGGTGGGATGGCTGTTTGGGGATTACCCCTGTGTATAAGCAAGCCCAATAAATTTATTTGTTTCCTAAGTTGGTCCTTTCTAGGGTGAGTAGATGTCTACTCCCATATCTCCAGGAAAAGTTCACAAGTTATTTATTCTTTTTGAGAATGTTTTTCTGTGTAGTTCTAGCTGCATCTTACTCTGTAGACCAAGCTGCCCTGGAACTCACTGAGATCCTCTAGCTTCTGCCTCCTGAGTGCTGGGATTAACAGTATGCACCACACAACTTCTGATCTTGTTGCTTTCACTTCTCGAATGCTGGGACTATGGGTGTAGGCCACCCTGCCTAGCTCTTTTTTAACCCTAGCCTATTTTCTACTATAGCTACTCACCAAGTAGCCATCAACTCCAAGGTGTCTGGACCTAACAATGTTGTTTAGGAGCATCTGATGGTGGGCCAGATGGACACTAAATAGCTCAGCTCCTCTGGGAAATCTTCTCACTCCTAAAGTCACCTGACAATGACACTTCAGACCTGACTCTAAGCCAGGACATATAAGGAGAGAAGAAGTTTGATAAGACCGTGAGAAAGCAGTCAATGTCAGAAGGTATTTTGCAGGTCAGAAGTCACCAACATGGTATGCTGTGCCAGCACTGGGAAGGCAGAGATGGGAAGACTGTGGGTCTGGGGCCATAGGGGCTCTGTGGTGAGCTCATGGGAAAAGCAGACCTTCTACGGACCAGATCTGATGGGGGACCTCTATCTGGCAAGAGACATCACGGACTTACTGCCAAATTTTGTTAATGATGACAGGGGCAAAAGCTAAAAGCTAAGTACTTAGGGCTGAAACACATGATTCCAAGGACAGATTTGCTTGAAAATACACAGGGCTTTAAACAAGCACAACAGACAGACAAAGCAAGTATGGCAAAATGCCGATAACCACTGGGTGTTTATTCACTAGTATTTCTACTGTGGACACCTGAAATTTGTGTTACTGAGTATCCCACTAAGCCTCACATATCTAAGCAGAGCTGCACCACCAGTTGGATGCTTAAATATTTTCGTAAGATAGAGAAAGTAAATTTTTTAAAAAGTAGATGGGGCTGGAAAGATGGTTCGGTGGTTAGGAACACTTGTTATTGCAGAAGATACTGGGTTTGATTTCTAGCACCTACATTTTGATTCACAACCATCCAAAATTCCAGTTCTAGGAGATCCAAAGCCCTCTCATGACTTTCTTGGGTAGCAGGCATGCACAGGTGTACACACACACACACACACACACACACACACACACACACACACACACAGAGGTAAATATCTATACATATAAAAAAACATTAAAAAAAAGCTACCATAGCTTTCATCATTACAAAGTTAAGGTGTATTTTACTCGGATTCACACTGCTCTAACAAACTACCTGGGTCTAGGCAATTACAAACTAAAAAAGTTTATTTAGTTCATAGTTCCAAAAGTTCAAGAACAAATTGACATCTACTGGGTTGTGGTGACAATCTTGAGGTGAATGGCTCATAGCAGGGAAACACTCAGTAGAGATCACGTTTATTTCTCATCTTCAGTTGAGAGGGTCTACGTAGGGCTGGTCTTGAATTTGTCATTTTCTTTGCCTCTGTCTCCCTATGGCTGGGATAACAGGTATGCACCATCATGCAGGGCTTTTTCTTTTTGGTAAATTTGCAGTTTTGTGAGACTGTCTTCTCACTATACAGCCAAGGCTAGTTTTGACCTCTAGGCAGGTCCTCCTGCTTTTCCCTGCATACAATAGCAAGTACTCTGAGCCACATTCCCCAGCCTCAGTTTCAGTTTACTGCCTTTTTTAGGGGGTGGGGTAGGTTCGAGACAGGATTTTTCTGTATAGCCCTGGCTGTCCTGGAACTCAAGAGATTCACCTGCCTCTGCTTCCTGAGGGCTGAGATTAAAGGTGTGTGCCTCTACCACCTGGCAAACTTACTCTTTTTAAACAGTCTGTTCTAATGGGATGACTTTGGTTCTGTGAGAGAAACATTAATCTTGTCCAAGGGTAGTCTCCCCCCCCACAGGGTTTCTCTGTGTAGCCTTCACTGTCCTGGAACTTGCTCTGTGGACCAGGCTGGCCTTGAACTCACAAAGATCTGCCTGTCTCTGCCTGTGCTGGGATTAAAGGTATACACCATCCCAAGAGTTCCCACTTCTTAAAGGTCCTGCTGCCTCAACATTAGGGGCAAAGCTTCTAGTACATGAATCTTTAAGAGAAACACTCAATTATACCCAAAGCCTAATGTAAGTTCTACACCTAGCCTTCTACACAGTTTTGCTGTGTGTGTGTGTGTGTGTGTGTGTGTGTGTGTGTGTGTGTGTGTGTGTATGTCTATATTTTTGAAACAGGGTCTTACTCAGTAACCTAGTGTAGACTCAAACTACTCTTCCAGCCTTAGGCTCCTAAGTGCTGGGATTATAGGCCTGTGCCACCATACCCAGGTCAGAATAGTGTCTTGCCAGGGTACCCAGACCTCATAGCATTTCCCTGTGTACACCTTGAGCTTTCTTATTTTTGCTACTTGGCAACAAGCAGGATCCCCCAGGTCATTGGAGGCACAGAAGAATGGGCCTAGGAGAGCAGTATGTCAGGTATGCTGCAGATGCCTCATCAGGTACTGAGTAGCTGCAGCTGCTCTTCCAGATGCTATTCTTACTGCACAATAAAAAGCTCCTGGCAACTGGCACATAGCTACTGATATGGAAAATGCTTTTATTCTTTTGTTCAATGCTAGAGAATAGCAGCTGACAAGGATCTTATTTGTCACCCACCAAGACAATATACCAGTCTGTGACTCAAGTGACACACAGACAGATCTGACCTGATGAATAGAAGCAGCAGGTGATCTAGAATGCACTGATATGGGACAGTGGCGTGTGCCATCTCTACAAAGTTCTAGTGGTTGGGAAGCCAGGTCTGCCTCAGGACAGCCTTCCCAAAAGCAAGGGAGTGCTGTGTATCTCCACCCTCTTCCACGTACAGTGAAGCGTACTGGGGAGGCACTTTTGGGTTCTAGAACTGATAGACATTGTACTGGATGGTCCACTCTGATAGGTTTGTTGATCTAGGAACTGCCAAGCTTGACAAAGTTCTGCATACTTTGTCCAGGGCTATCAGAAAAACAAAACAAAACACCCCAAAACCGAAACAGAACAGGAATGCCTACTTTAAAACAACCAGTTTCTCTAAGAAATATCCATGGCCTACTGGCTGCATAGCTGGGCTGTTAGCGGATCAAGGTCTCCAATTCTTTGGGGGCTCCAAGGTAAGGGTTGCTCTTAGCTTTTAGAAGCTACCTCACTCCTTGGCTCAGGGCTCCTCCCTCCAGCTTTAAAGGCAGCAATGGGAGGTCAAGTCCTCATGTTTACAAAAGCCCACAATCAAAGCATCTCTTGTCTGACTACTTCCAGGAAAGGCATTCTAGTCAAGAACTCCCAATCAGGAGTTCACTGAGAATTTCCCCACCTCAAGGAAGGGCCTTAACTTTGAACATATTCATAAGGTTCCTTTGTCATCTGCAAGGAGAACATCCTGGAACCTACCAAAGTTAAGACACAGAGAACAACCAGAAGCCACATGCGTTCAAATCCATGCTATGCTACTTACTACCCATGTGACAGTGGTTATGCTACGTGTGTTTTCCTTGTCTCAACTGCAAAGTGAGGACAATAGGACCTATTGGTAATGCAGACCCAGAGACTGCTAACTGCCCCAAATGTTCTCTACTTCATCTTCTAAGCAACAAACTCCCATGCCCATTCTACATATTTAAGCTGAAAATGAAGTCATCTACCTCCAGGCCATATACAGTGCCAGGCTGTTTCCTTGAGGAAAAGCTGCCTGCCTAATAACCTATCTCCTTCCTCCTTTCCTATACACAACTACGCACAGGATACCACCACATATTGGGAGTCAGTGTGACCTAATGGGACACAGTTCACCAGCCTGGCAAAGCTGGATTCTTTATGAAAGGAACAGACTTCTGTAGCACTTAAGTGACTGCATTTTCATATGTTAACATTTAGAAATTTCAGGGATGAGGGATTATATGAGCAAGGTGTGTGTGTGTGTGTGTGTGTGTGTGTGTGTGTGTGTGTGTGTGTGTGTGTGTGTGAGGGCTGTCAAGATTATGATGGAGAAAACCAGAGACACCTGACCCAAGCTAGTGAGAACTTACGGACTCTGGACTGACAGCTGGGGAACCTGCATGGGACTAAACTAGGCCCTCTGAATGTGGGTTACAGTTGTGTGGCTTGATTTGTTTGTGGGGCCCCTGGCAGTGGGACCAGGATTTATCCCCAGTGCATGAACTGGCTTTTGTTGGAACCCTACAGTGGGATACCTTGCTCAGCCTTGATGCAGTGGGGACAGGCTTGGGCCCACCCAAACTTGGTATGCCAGACTTTGTTGACTTCCCAAGGCATGCCTTACTCTTTCTGAGGAGGGGGTGAGGTGTTGTGGGAGCAGGAGATAGGGAGGGAGGTATGTAAAATGTGGTTGGTACGTAAAATATATGAAGACCTGTTATACCTACTTACTGGATAGACAGTAAGGAGAAGTGAGTGCTTGATTTTTATCAAACACATACAAGCCAGACATTCCATAGTACCACCTGACATTTGAATAGCTATAGGTTGTAGAAACAAAGATATAGGCTCTGGGGTTAGGGTCCTGCCAAGGATTCCTCTGTGCAGGGGTGGCTCAAGCTGGTACTTCCCATAGAACCCTCTGCTCCTTGCAGGGCCAGTTCAGCAATCACATTACTCACATAGATGTCCGGTACTTGATGTCATCCTTTTCTGCCAGCTCCTCACAGGTAAGGCCATTATGCTCTTTCCAGAGTCCTTGACACTTCCTACAGGTCTCCTGAGGATTGAAGACATATAAATACAGTTTCTGGTGAGTGGGTGCCATACAAGTGTCTGTTTACAAAAATGTCTATGAAATGCGCTTTTTGGGACCCCGAGTCTCTGAGAGCTGCTGTCTCAATGAGCAAGGTTGCTTCTTAAGACAGAGCAGCAGCAGAAGAGAGAAGTATCAGAGTTACATGGTAGCAACTGCCTTGGGAGTATCTACATTTTGGAGGTGGAAGCAGGAAGATGGAGTCAGCTGGTGGTGGGGCAGAGTGGATTGAATGAAGACACAAGATTTTTCAATGTAAGCCATTTGTGTTCACCAACATCTGCCCCAAGACATGGTGTCATGTAGCCCTGGCTTGCTTGAAATCGTGTAGCTAGGGATTACCTTGAACTGTTTTTTGGAAAAAAAAATTCCTTTACTTTTTAAATAAAAGATTTATATATTTATGTATGCATATGGATGTTTTGTCTGCAAGTACACTGCATATCAGAAGAGGTTAATATATCCCATGGGACTACAGTTATAGACAGTTGTGAGCCACCATATGGGTACTGGGAATTGAACTCACGACCTCGAGAAGAATAGTCAGTACTCTTAACTGAGCCATCACTCTAGCCTCCTGTCTTGAACTTCTGATCTTCCTGTCTCTAGATTCGAGTGCTAAGATTATAGGTAGGTGGCACCACAATTGGTTATTTTGTGCTTGGGATAAAGTAAAGGGTCTTGCGCATGGTGAGCAATAACTCTACCTACTGATGTACATTTCTAGTCCTCTTTTGCACTTTTAAACTGTATATGACATATATGTGCTGATAACAGAAGTAACATTTAATTTAGGGATAAATATGATGCAGAGAGTCTGGAGTCTTTTTTTCTCTTTGGTTTCTCTGTGTAGCTTTGGAGCTTGTCTTGGAACTCACTTTATAGACCAGGCTGGCCTTGAACTCACAGAGATCCGCCTGTCTCTACCTCTGCCTCTCGAGTGCTGGGATTAAAGGTATGGGCCACCACCGCTTGGGTGGAATGTGGTTCAAAGGATTCAATCAATGGTATGGGGGTATAGATGAGTTCATGGGATAGTACACATGTCAGTGTCATTGCTTCCAAGGGACATAGATGTTTTCTCTCTCCAATGTTTTCTCTCTCCACTGCTTGCGTTCCATTCAGAAAACAGAGCTACATCAGTACTGTATATAATTAGTTTCCAACAAAATCTGCAATTGTACAGAACTGTTATTTTTCTTTGAACTTTAGTTATTTGTTTGCTCATTTATTTATTCACTTATCTATCTATCTATCTATCTATCTATCTATCTATCTATCTATCTAAATATCTAAATTTTATGTATGAGTGCTCTGCATGTATACCTGCACACTAGAAGAGGGCATCAGATCCCACTATAGATGGTTGTGAGATACCATGTGGTTACTGGTAATTGAACTCAGGACCTCTGGAAGAGCAGTCAGTGCTCTTAACTGCTGAGCCATCTCTCCAGCCCCTAAGACAGAATGGTTCTTAAAAGATCTTGTGTGACTAGGCATGGTGGCATACGCCTTTCATCTCAGTACTCCAGGGAGAGGCAAGTAGATCTCTATGAATTCAAGGCCATGGTCTACATAGTTTCAGGACAGCCAGGGCTACATAGAAAGAACCTGTCTCAAAAAAGAAAAAGAAAAAAAGACCTTGGTACTATTCCAGGAAAGTGGCATAAACAGCAGCTGGAAAACAGATGAGCTTGTGTTTGGATACTGTCCTCCTCCTAAACAAAAACAACAAAACCACCCACTAGAAACAACAGCTTGAAAACAATACATAGCAGAAAGGCAGTACTTGTGAGTGTTCCTGGTGAGTCAGACCTTAATTCATGGCCTGTCTTGTGAAGTGAAGAAACCCTATTCTCCAGGTAACACCCAAGGCCACAAAATAGCCTGTCCACACTGCAGTCTATGGTTCATGAGAGTCAAAGGGAAGTCCTCTGGCTTGTATTCAATACCACAGTGGCCAGCCTGTCGGTTAAATTCCTTCATAGTAAAGAGCCCAGGGGTTCCAGAGAATAAACCTCAATTGTATTCTGAAGAGGCACTGTAGCCAGACACTGAAACCTACAATTAAAATAAGGGGAGCATAGAGTAGGCTGGGCAGAGTTATCACATGGAACTCTCTGCATCATCTCTTCCCAGCCAGGCCTGAGCTTTCCAGCCCATCCCTTTCCTGGTGACTTCAGCATAGGAGGAAGAGAGGGGACACAGGTGCTGGCTAACCTAGGCAACTCATTAAAGGAGCTGCTACCAGCTGCTGCTCATTAGGAGCCTGTTGCCAAAGTCTTATGGGGCCTATGGGGCCCATGGGTCCTTGAAATGCTAAGATATCTTGCAATATAGAAAAAACAAGTGGCTGGGGAGATGGCTCAGTTGGTAAAGTGTTTGCACTGCAAGAATTAGGATCTGAGTTCAATCCCCAGAACCCACATAAAAAAAGCCAGACATCATAGAGAGTACTTGTAATCTTAGTTCTGGGGAGGAAGGGCAGGTTGATCCCAGAGACCTTATGGCCAGCCAGCCTACATTATCTGAGTGTTTAATGAGCCAAGCAGATTAGAGTCTGTTTTGGCTGAGGAGGCCTAGGTAGGATGACTGTTAAATTCAAAGCCAGGATAAGATAAATAGTGAGTTCAAGGGCAAAATATGCACTACATAGCAAGTTTCTGTCCCTCAAACAACATCAAAAGATGTTTAGTTTTAGATGACTCTATGAGAGAGCTGAAATTTCTTCTCAGAAACATAGCTTCCTCAAAAATCATCAAATGTCACTGTACCATCATCTCACCCACAGCCTAGCACTTTACAAGGGTCTGTTTGGTCTGCAGAGGCTGCAGCAGGCCCACCAACCACTCTTTCCAGGCCATTGTGGCTGCTTGTATTCTAGGCATTCAGATTTTACTACCCTATCTTCGAGTCTCAGAGTCAGAACACAAGACAAACTGCTCTCTTGTTTTGATAGATTCTTCCAGCTAAATCTTCCAACTTGTTCTCCAGGAAATAGGAAGTTACAGACCCAGCTCTAGGGCACAAGGATGTTAGTCTACCCAAATCTAATCTGAGAAATTCCAAATTTCTGTTGTTATCCAAGGGGAGACACACACACACACACACACACACCCCACCACCAACAAAAAAACAAACCCCAAACCAAACCAAACCAAAAACCCAAAACAACAACAACAACAACAACACAAAAAACAAACAAACAAAAAAAACAAACAACCTCACAACAAAAACCACCAACCCCGGTCAATTCCCTGAGGCCTCCAAGAGAAAGATGAAAACACCTGACTCCACTAATGCTTAGCTAACTCAAGGGACCACAGGAACACAGGCTTTCAGGCCACCTGTGTCCTCCAGCTATTGAAGATGCTAGTCCTCCCCACTGCCATCCCCCAAAAGCCATGTCGGTTAAAGCCAAAAGATCTAGAAAGACACTAATTAATGTCTTTTTTTTTTTATTCATTTGTTTTTTTGAGACAGGAGAGAACTGAAGATTGTCTTCTGACTTCCATGTGTACTCCAAGGCATAAGCTCCTGCATGCACACTTGTGCACACATACACATCACCAATAATGAAAATATAAAGTGAAATTTTCATCCTATTCTTTTATATTTTTTAGGTATGTCTGCAACAATAGCATAACCATATGTAGTTATAAATAAGCTCATGTTCAGGGGAGTCTTCTGCTCTACATAGTTCTGACAGAGTGCACATTCACAAAGTTGTGTGTCTGCTCCTGTTGATACCAGGTAGCCAAGGATAGGATGCAATAGGCAAAGTATTTGGCTGTAGCTATATTTCAATATACCCCACGATGGACTGAAAAAGCTGAGACCAGAGGTGGAAGATATTTAACAAGCAAGTGGAAGAGAGTTTTTGACTTGTGACACTAGCTGGGTTGAAACATATGGTGAGTGGCACAGGATGAGGGCTGGTCTGAGCCAGGGCTGAAGTTTCTACCACTTGTAAAATGTTAAGGCTGTGGCAGTGGGCAAGAGCGACTCAGTTTCTGTCTTCTTGGAATGTATGGGTTTTTATTTTTTATTTGGTTTCTTGAGACAAGGTTTCTCTGTGTAACAGCCCTGGCTGTCTTGGAAACTCACTCTGTAGACCAGATTGGCCTTGAACTAAGAGATCTGCCTCTCAAATGCTGAGATTAAGGGCGTGCATCACCATGGCCTAGCAAACTTATGTTTTAGGGGAACACAGCATGCAGGATCCAGAGCTGTCATGTAGGCAGGGCATGGCACTGAAACAGCCATATCCAGTCAAGCCCAGTGGCTGGAGAGGTCTGTGGAGGATGAAATACTGAGGTTGAGCCCAAAAGGTAAACAGGAGTCGGCTAGTGATAGGAAAGTGCATGCTGAGGCACGGTAGAAGAGAGGAGACTTGGTTTAGCAGGCTGCTGGTGCTAAGGCTACAGGAAATCAGGAGGAATGGGAAGGAAGTATGATGACTTGATGGCTGCAGTGGCAGAGGTAGTGATGGTGCGGGCTTCTGGCCTCCCTGGGCTCTAGCATGCCCATGGTGAACATAAATTCAATCCAGGTTCACATACAAACACAAACATAAATGAAAAATAATATCTTTTAAAAAGGAGGGTGGGTAGTACCCCAGATTTTTAGGAGCTAGAAATGACAGCTGCCAGGTACTAAAAATGCAAACATCCTCCAAAAGGACACCCTGTAAGGACATCCTACTGAGATTTTTTGTTGCAAGATTTAATTTTTTTCATTTTTAATTACATGTATCTGTGTCTCTATGGGCACAAATGCGTCTCTGTGGGCACAAACGCGGTTGCTTAAAGAAGCCAGTGGCTTCAGGTCCTGGTTGAGATGGGAATTACAGGTGGTTGTGAGATACTTGATGTGGGTGTTGAGAACCAAACTTAGGAACTTGGGTCGCCTGTAAGAACAATGTGTTTAATTCATCTCTCTAGCACAAGTCCTCTTATTTAATT